ATCATCGTGATAGCTTTAATTAAATGTGTTCTAAGAAAATTAGTGGACGCCATGTGCTTCCCCTACAACAAACATGGTACACTGTACAAACGTTAGTACATGCCTAAATGAACGTCTGTAATAATGTAAATATACACACATTTTAATTTATTTAAATTAGAAATCTTTTCTTTTGTTGATCAAATACCCAATTCCTTTCGAAAATACCATTAATCAAAACATCTTTTAAAAATACTATATTCGTTATGTCAACTAGTTATTTGATGTTTCTCAAAAAAAAAAAAACTAGTTATTTGATAAAATAGCATGATTATGCGATATTTTTACCAACCGTAAAACATATGAAAACTCTTGAATAAAACAGTTTTGTTTATCACGTGATCATTTTCCTTTGGACCGAGATAAATAGATTAAATGAAGAAAAATTTGTTACCTATCACCGACAAGTCTATACATTCGAAAGATGAGATCTTCCTCTTGTTCAGTCATATTGATAAACTCCCATTCGATGCTGCTCACTTCTGCAAATAATTATATTTAACCAAACAACGTCAAAACAAATATTAAATTAAGAGAAACCAATATATTTTTTTTGAAAATTAAGAGAAACCACTATTAAAACGAGAAAATAATACTACGCTTTGTTTGTTTAACTTCTTCTTCTAGTTAGCACGAGGTGTTCAAGTACCAAAATTTGCAAACATATCCACTCGAAAATGAGTTACAAGACGAAAATTTCAAAACTGAGTCGAATTTAGACAAAGGAAGTCAGATCAGATATCGATCCTAGGAACTAAATTTACAATTAAAGCCCAAAATGCTTACAAAAATGTGAAAGCTATGCCTTTTAGCAAAAAAAAAAAATGTGAAAAGCTAAGGAATAAATATTAGAGAGGCAACGAAATCAAAAACCTTCAGAGTCATGGTGGGTGAATTTGTGTTGCTTACGACGGCGACGACGGTCAGTGTTATCCATTGATATTGGAGATAGTAAAGAAAAAAAAAATCAAAAATGGAGATTGAAGTTAGTTAATGAAATTTGAGGTTGAACTGAAGTATACAAGAAAAAGAAAATGTGAGTTTTTATAGAGAGG